TATACTCTCCCACCGACGCAGCACCACAGTTTCTTTAGAAACTTACCCCCTTATTTCACTGATGTATCCCATACACTACATTGTCAATTCAGACCGGTTCCCCGCTAATAGAGGATTTTAACACTAGAAATTAACCATATACATGTTATTTTAGTGCCCCCGTCCTCTTAATAAGTGTCCTCTGAAGTAGGGTTCGTTAGGAAGGGAAATTTGAGACGTCAATTTCGGGAACCGGCTTAGTGTCCGCTAAGTAGAGGTTTCACTGTAGATGTTAAAGAAAGTATGGTAATCTAGCGGCACGATTTACGTAGCTCAGCAACAGAAAGGGAAATTAAAACCGATGTCTCACCTGTCTTGGCTTTTCCTTCTTTGAATTCGTGCAGTAGCACTGGGAATAGAAGACCGTATGAATACGAACAGCCGATGGCGATCAAAATGCATAGAAACCCACAGAAACATACAAAATAAGCATACGGGCTGTCAGGCTGTTTACATTCCCCCAAATATCGCGAAATCCGCTTGAAATCATTGCATCCACTTCTCCGTTCCTTGATGACTTCCTTTGTCAGCAGAAAATTATCACCCTCTGGTCCCTCCATAAACGCTTGGCTGCTCTAAATTGGATAGAATGTCTGTGTTTTATAGAAACTTCACAAAGCAGAGTACATCTTAAAGAAGTTACGCCTCGTTGAGTCTGCATAATAACTCACAAGAACCAGACGAGGTTATGCATGCAAATTAAGTCTAACTGAAAAACAAAATATTATTACTTCGTGTAAACATTTTCTTGGACTTTGGCCCGACAATAAAAGCACGAGATTAAGCGGATGCCTAAATAGGACTAAATGGCCATCTTGGCTTAAAAAGTAGTAACGGCAACGGTTTATGTCGTGAAAACAAAATGAAAATAATTTAATTTTTCTTTGGTTTGATGAGGTGATAACAAATAACGTCGCGTGCAGCCGTTAAGTGAAACGAACGAACGAAACCTGTTCACCGGGTATTTTTTTCCAATACCAGTACAGTACAATATTAAATATCGCATTATTGATTTATCGCTGCGAAGTACCGTAGAACTCCGCTAACTCGAACAAGATCCGTTTTTCCCCGAACTCCTTGTTAGCTCGAACTAATTCTACTTTATCTTTGGCCCAAATTAACCCTAAATACCTCGCGTTTGATGACCTTCATAAGTGTCTGAGTGTCACGTCCCAATCTTTAAATCGCGATTGAGTCGAAAGTGATAACATTTATGAAAATGTAATACATTTAGCAAAACGTATAAACTACTTAAAACTTTAAAAAACAAAACAAAACCAAAAAAAATCTAAATGAACTAAAATGATTGTTGATTGTGTGAGAATGGGAAAAAATTATTCCTTTTTGTAATATCTACTCGCTTAATCGCACCATTTTTCGTTTTCCTTGGAAGGTCGAATTGGCGGAGTTGTACTGTAGTACAGACTGTTTTGAGCCAGCTTTATTCTACAGCTTATTTTATCGTATTCTCAGTCCCTTTTGTATTTTCTCCGCGTTTTCTCAGAACTGGCCCATATAGCAACAGGTAGATAGCTGGTGTCAAACCACGATATCCAATTGAGTTCATCGCATCAGAATTTTGTTTTTCGAAAGTGGGAAGAGGGGGGGGGGGCAGGTCAAGGAGTGAGAAGTTCCCCCCTTCACGTTTCTTCTCTCTCCTTTTGCATACCTTCAATTCCCGTCTTCTGCCCTCTATTAAATGATTTTTTTTTTCTGTACACATTTTTTTTATACAGACTGAAGTTAGATTCACAAGCTGTGCGACAAGATCACTTCTTTTTATTAAGAGCGGTACTGTCACTTTTCCAATAGTCATACTCAGTACTGGAACAATAAAAATTGAATAACTCTTCTAGTTAACGATGCATGCACCGAAGATATCGGAAGCCAAGGTATTGTTTAAGAAAACAATAATTCTTTGCTCTTAGTAGTCTTACAATGAGGTATGGAGTTTCACCCGACTTTTTCAATGAGAGACTGAATATGCTTTATGATTCACTTAAAAATATATACCAAGGTTTGTAAGAATTTAAATTCAAAGAAGAAATTTTCCCCAAAAAAACTTCAAAAGTCAAAGGTCCTAAAATTTTGAATTTTTGTCAACCTAATTAAATTTTGAATTTTTGTCAACCTAATTAAACATAACTGCAGATATGAAGAACACGAATATATCAACGACTTTGAACGTACATTCAACCCTAAAACCGTTTTATATAAGCACCATTTGCGGCCGAATTACACAAAACACAAAGACGTCAAGACCTTGGAGCAGGAGGGCCTTTCATTTTACATTTGCAGCTCTAGTTTAGCTTATTTCAATAGATTCAAAGTAACTTTCCCACAAAAAATCTATAATTCACGCAGCGATGCAGAAAAAATGGCGATAGAGATTGCTGATAGCTTAATGACATTAAAATAAGCTACGGGCAATTTTAGTTCATCGGAAAATTAGTAGAGGAAATATTTTGCGGCCAGGGTTTATTCATTTCAATCATGTTTTTTGCAATGCAACCTTGATTTCGCTGACAGGAGATCGTCGCTTCGCCAATCACTGAGACAAATAAAATTCTCTTGTAGCTCTTTCTCGGCCCCTGGCAACTCATGGTGAAAAATGCAAGCAAGCGGCGAAGAGTGTTATTGTCACGTTCGATTGAGACCAATTTGGTAAAACGTTTTACATCTGTTTAATCTGTTCATTTGTTAGGGGTATCTAAGGTCTAAGTTTTTGAGTTCTGAGTATTCGTGATACCCCATTTGTTGTTGTTAAAAAGCTGTTCAAGACAAGATCCTTTAAAATAATTTAAATTTGCTTTTTTCGCGGACACAGTAGACAACCACCACATTTTTAATTGACATGGAATTTTGAGGTTGGTCTGTGTTTCCTTGTAAATAATCGAATTTATCAAAAAAAAAGTCAGGTGAAGGCCGAAAATCGTCTCAATGTCTTGAGGATTGCGCTTCCCATAACATCCGATGAAAGGCCTGTTCCAATGACCAATTAAACATATACTTGTTTACTTCAACGCATGGAAAGGACCAACCAACTAACGATTAACCATTACATTTTTAACAACAGTTCGCATAAAGCTAGCTTTTGAGGATGAGCTAAAACTTGAAAATCGTATCAGCTGTGTATTTTCCTGATGAGAACATTCGAGGCGATTCAACAAACCTTTATCTTCGTGACCTTCAAGGGGCTTTCCACTGACAAAGAAATGAAGTCGGAGTCGCGTAAGCGATTTTCACTCGGTGACAGCACCTCTGAAGATCGGGGTCACTCTCGAAGGACTCGGAATCGAAATAATCAGACTCTTTCTGTTTTCTTCGCATTCGGCTCGTAATTCCAACGCTCACAATCCATAGCGTGATCCATTCTTCAAAAACATTATCGGTGTGTTTTTCGAATCGAATGTCAAAGTCACGTTCCCCAGGACAACGTCTGCATTGTGTAAACGTGGGCCTGGGGTCAAGTTGCAAGGACATCTTGTAGCGACATCTTGTAGCGACATCTTGCAGCAACAAAAACTTATGTAGTACACATTGAGGCGACATAAGTTTCATGGCATCCTTGCAACTTTTTGCCATTTTTTTAGTGATCCTTGGACTGAGATAGAATAACTGCATGGATCCGGTTCGTCTTGAATCGTACGTGGTGAGAAAAGAAAGGAGACTTAAAACATTTTCATTAACTTTGCGATACGTTCAAATTAGGTCCGTCGAGCCTCATCAAAATAATTATAGGCATGCGAAATGAAGAAAGGTGCTTTTAGTTATGATAATAGGACTGAGTGGAGTCCAATTCGGTCTGTAATCATACGAGTGATAACAAGATCGGACGACCGTGCAGCGGGAGTTCGATTTGTCTATCACGAAGACACGACTCGAAGTTTTATTACCAATTAATCATAAAAATTACAATTTCCGAGAAAAGAGTAACCAAGTTATGAAAGAAAGGGAACCAAGGCTGTGATTGGTTGCTATAAACTACAACTTTGAAAGTGATAGGCTTATGGAACTGTCCGATAACAAGCTGTCTGATAACAAACTATTCGATAACAACTTGGCAAGTGAATTAGTGTAAAATAAGAGTTTTTAAAACCAATCACAATCGAGGAAATTGTAATTTTTATGATAAATTGGGTTATATGACTGCCATAGCCGCAATGAAGCAATGTCTGGGATTATTGACGAAGACAACTAGTTCTACAGATATTTCTTGAATAAACTGATAACAGAATGGCAATTTTTGCGGTTCATCCTGGCGAAAAGGCGGCAGACTGTTTTAAGCCAACTTCATTCAAAAATTCGATTCATTGTTGTGTTTTTCAGGTAAACTTTGCGTTTTCCTCGAATTAGCCCATGAAGCAGTAGGTAGATACCTAATGCCAAACCACAAAACTTTACTGAGGCTCATTACGCATCATATTCTCTTTGGTTTCGTCGAGGGAACTGTCTGTAAGAATCTCACTATTCCTACAATCTTCCGGCCAACCTTCAACCCTCTCCTTCCGCTTTTCAGTTAAGAAACACTACTGATAAACGATGAAGGTATTCCCGCCTCCCACCCCAATACCAGCTACACGAAATGTTTCATCCCAGTGAGATTCATTTTCCCGAGGAAATTCAGAACTAGGAAAATCACCGACAGAGAAGCCAAAACAGGTCTTATAAGGGCCAAGTAAAGTAGTATTGTAATTTTTTAATAGTCGGCAGAAAGATAAATTAGGTTCGGGTATTCAAAGTATCAAGGGGTAAGTTTCTAAAGAAACTGTGGTGCTGCGTCGGTGGGAGAGTATAGCAGGTAATTTAGTGTTAACAACTAGGTTGAAAACGTAAATTAGCCACCGTAAAGGGTAAAAAAGCTGACGTTTCGAGCGTTAGCCCTTCGTCAGAGCGATTGACTTGAATCGCTCTGACGAAGGGCTAACGCTCGAAACGTCAGCTTTTTTACCCTTTACGGTGGCTAATTTACGTTTTAAACCTAGTTGTTAACACTAAATTACCTGCTATTTAAAGTATTGTTGGCACTTCAAAAAAAGCAACGAAGTGTAATCGGTAAAAAGTATGAAGGACGACCAACTTAACACCCAAAAGCACTATATTTTTTAAAATAGATTCCTAAAACTTTTAAAACCATGCTTGGTGATTTATCTTAGAGTCTAGGTTTCCTTAAAAGCCAAGACTACTTTCTGACTGTTTCTTTCCTCTCACAGTCCTCTGAGCGTGAGGGGAAAACGAATACACAAATTCTGATATGGACTAAAGAAGGCTGGGTTTGAAATTGAGAAGTAAAATATTAAAACACTTTTGCATATAAGTAAGTAAAACAAGTTCACCCTTAGACGAATGTCATTCTTTTGACAGCGAATAGTTTTTTTCTTTCGCACTACAATCTGTGTTGTCTGAAAATAACTGTTCTTGCCACAGTGAGATAAGAAGAGAATCCCAACCGCAAAAATTTGAAGCGATCCTGCTGTGTAAAACGCAGGATTGTACGATCCTTGCAAATCAGCAATGAATCCTACAACAAAGATAAAAAGAAGAAATATAAAAAAAAGATTTATCGTTGGTACTTTCTCAGTGTCGTGCAATTTTTAGGAGGTCTTCATTTGATCTTCCTGTTCTATTACAATAATCAGGATTTTTAGGCTCGAAAAGTAAAAGTTACTTCTTCACTTGTTTTGAATAGTCATGAATCAGCGTAACACACTGTTTTATCTGCACCTCACTTTTAACTTTGCGCAAGATTCAAGGACAAATATGCGAGTATATTTTTTGACCCAGATCGAGGCTATTGTTTCTAGAGCCCTTCAAATATTTCGAAGATTTGAGCGGGAAAAAATTCTTCGCAAGCAGCTTGCCGCGAAAACGTCACCGTCTGAAGTTTTAGCGCACGGTGGTATGACTTCATAATTATAAAGCACATCTCCTCTTCTGTAGTAACAGCCAAACACTCTCTCATCTCGAGATGAGTCTTTGCGGGCTGAAGTATATTTGGTCCCGTGACGTTTAGGCCAATAGCGCTGAAGCAGCAATGCATGAAGAATCAATATCATTGATGATTTCCTAAAAAACATTACATTTCAGACTGCGTAAAGGTATTAAAATACAACTTACCTCCCAAAGGGGGACCAGCCACCAGTGTAACTGCCACACATAAATGAAAAAAACCAATTCCCTGAGACTTCTGTTTCGTGGATAATGTGGACAAAACTAGAATATTCATCGATGAAGCAATAGCACCGTCCATCATTCCATATACAACAAAACATGCTAGAAGCGGATAAAATGTGGACGATAATGTCATTAAGATCACCAAAGTCCCGGAGACAAGAACTGTAAACCTCATGATCCAGATCGGAACATTCCTCCCCAAGTCACACAGGCGGCCAGTGATGGCTCTAAAAATGGTCGATGCTAGTCCGTTAAAGAAAAACATTTGCGCCACTTTATTTCGATCAATTCCGTGCTCTTGGCAGTAACGACCCTGTGGCATGTAACAGGTAAAGAAAGACTTAAAAATTTTCGACGGAACGGAAGTTGTAATGATAAAAGATATTAATAGATACTGAGTGACATATCATATGGAGAGAGGGAATGAAAGAGGGAGGAATAACAAAAAAAAAACATGATGTATTTTGTAAAAAGGATCACGAAAATGCCCTGTAGACCTTCCTTGCAGAAAAGCGGACCCATAGTACGCATGTAGATATAATTTTTATACTTTGCTTCAAACCAGAAAAATCTCCTGACTGGTCAAAGAAGAAAAAATACAATGGAAAAGTAACATGTCATACACACTCTTCGTTACAGCCTGACCATTTTTCTTATTAACATGGCAGAAATGTTTATTCGTGGCTGTCACTTCTCGAGTGATATGCATGGCTGTGGGGATTGGTAAAGCCTGATTGATGTGGCCAGGCCGCGTTGAAGTTGTATATGTATCATTGGCTGTTTGTTTGTCCTTAAGAGGAAAACATCGTTTAGTGCTTACATTTAGGCGACTGTGATTCACAACTTACCAAATGAACTATTGGAATGGCAACACCAAGGAATACGGTGCTACTTGCCACTAGGTACACCAGGTACTCCTTATTTCTCAAATATGAAACATTTAAACATGAACTTCTCTGTAACTCTCGCTCGCTATTTCTCTGAGTCTCTTCGGGTTCACTTCTGGTGGCGACGTTTGGGTCAAAAGAACACGACAAAATGCAAGTCAAAAACACGATTGCTGCCATGAACATGAAGGTCATTCTCCATGAAGTGTTATTCAAGAGGGCCTGAATGACAGGGCTCATAATAAGCAATCCTCCACCGGGTCCACTCACAGCAAGTCCCGTTACAAACGAGCGCCTCTTTATAAAGTACCTTTGTAAGATGATCAAAACAACAAAGAACACACACGATGATCCAAACCCATAAAGGATCCCGTAGGAAAAGTACATTAAAGTCAGGTTTGGTGCTCGTGACGTCACTACGAGCGCAACGGTGGAGATGACGCCGCCAAAAAACGCAATTACACGAGGGTTTCTCACAGAGAAGCCCCACTAAAGGGCCGAAGATGCCTGTGGATCCATAAGCCAGAGAACCTACCCAGGCTAAGTACAACAGCGACGAACAAAAAGAAAATTAAATTAATGCTTAGAACATGATTTGAAAATGTTCAAAAAAACTTTGTAACCATCGGCATGTGTTATCTACAGGCAAGTCTCTGTAATAAAACTATCTACTGGCAAGCCTTTGTATTATATTTCAACCCAACCATTTCCTCAACATATAAACACTATTACAAAGTAATTAGTCAGGGAAATGGAAAACTTGTGGCATATACACCATGTTTGAAATGCCACGACCATAGTAAGCTAACGGGATTGAGGATGTGTGTGGGAATAGACCTTCTTGTCTGTATCAATAATTTGCTAATCACTCCTGTTGGCAATGTTTTGATTAGGTTGGGCTATCAAGGCAAAGGAACTGAGGATTTTAGTAGGCAGTGAACTAGTTTTGAGAAGGATACAATATTTTATAGCAAAAACTCGATGCATAGGTTGTGCAAAAACCTTTAATTTGACTATACTTTTATAGCCAATACCAGTCCCTTCAAATATTAAAATGTTAGGAGGTTCAGAGCAAAAATAATCTGCCATACATCTGCAAGAATTGATGTAATTATTTTAAATACAAGAATATTAACTGATACTAGGAGATCTAATAATATTAAAAAAATTATAAAATTTGGTTGAAAAATTAGAATTCAGCACAAGCTGGATAAACAAGGTTCTTAGAAAAAAAAATGTGTACTAAGGAAAAAGCTGAGCAAACTTTTTTTACAACACCTGCCTGTACCTAAATGGCATAAAGTAAAGTCTTTTGAAGTAGTCATAATCCCAGTTTCATATGTTGAAAACACATG